GATAGAGGAGAGAGAGAGAGAGAGAAAGTAAACCTGTAGGGAGTATCACCACCAAATTTCTTCTGATTGACATATCCCGAAAGAAGCTTTATATATCCACCACCACATTCAATATCCTGCTCAAATTTCACAGAATATTGAAACACCAGAGTTCTATTCTTGTTAGTGAATTCTGGAATCTTGGCAGATATGGCGAAATGTCTTGCATCAGGGTATGTCTGAATACCTGCAAAATTTGAAAACCATCATGGGGACAATGAACCAAATTCCCTGGTTGCATATCACATAAATTGAATGTCACATCCGCACAAGTTGCGTGATTCCAGTTTTCAGAAAAATAGCATGATTTTAGTTAAAGCTTCTTCCTATATTTTGCATATTAAATAGAAAAATGATACAACTTGAAAAGTTTATTTTGTTTGAAAAATATATCCAAGTTACAAAATAAAGGAGGATCCTCCATCAATGTAGAACTGAAAGTGCTTCTACAATTCCTTCCCCATTTTAACTGGTGAAAATCACACTGTAGTTCAGTCAAATTTCCGTAGCTGCAATACCAAAGGTAATAACAGGAATTTTGTCAGCTCGCTTCATTTTCCAGAAGTGCCTAAATAACTAATGTTATAAATCAACAAGAGACATTAATATGTCTGAGTTTTAACAAAGAAAGTTCTTCACAAGTATCACATAAGCAAAAGATTATTTAAAATGACTTTTTGACATGAATATACTTCTCTGCTGCTTATCAACAAAGATACTCAAAACAAATATAAACCTTTATCATCTGGATCTCCAGCCCATTTCCCAGCTGAGTGCTTAAAAGATCCAGCCTTTCCCTCACTCTTTTTCCAGTCTGATTTGACCCAGTGGCTCTCCCACCCATCTGTTCCAAACCATAAAAAGAGGAATGCAGAATACAAGAATCAGATTACAGGATATTGACTCATCGTTTAAAAGTTCACAAAATTGAAAGATGATCTGGCCAAACAATATTAATAATAACAACAATAATAATGATGATAATAATAATAATCATAATAACGATGATAATGATGATGATAATAATAATAATGATGATGACGATGATCATAATAATAATAATAATAATGAAATTACCAGAGATAATATCACATTCACAAGATGCTAAGATCAGCAACCATAGAAAGGAACAAGCTATTGTCTAAAGGAAGCAGTGGGCATTCATGTGTGCATCTCGGTATGTTACAAAGAAAGAAATATTGAGACAGTATGGTTTTAATATAACATTATTGAGATAGTGTGGTTTTAATATAACATTATTGAGATAGTATGGTTTTAATATAACATTCTTAGAACCAAGCTATAAAAGGTGGTAAGGTGATCATGCTATCCTATAATCAATATATGTTGACACTTGACAACCACTATATACAAAAAACAATAAAGAGAGAAATATCTACATGTGAAAGATTAAATAAGTTTCACTCAGTTTGTAATTGCCAAAATCTGGATTTGCACTATATTCGGTGACTCGGTCTGCACTTGAATTGAAATAAGGTGATCATGCTATCCTATAATCAATATATGTTGACACTACTATAAATAGTAAACAAACCACAATAAAGAGTGAAATATCTACATGTGGAAGAATAAATAAGTTTCACTCAGCTTGTAATTGCTAAAATCTGGTCCATCTTGCACTAATTTGGTTTGCACTTGGATTGAAATTCCAAAACTTGGCCTTTCATTAGGGACTGGCTGAAATCTCTTAACATTTGAAATGGGCAACTTAAAGTAATCTAGGTTACCTTGTTTTAATTTCTACTTAAAAGATGAAATGCTAATTTGATTATGTTGTGGGGAAGCTGCTTATTTTACTGCTTATTTTTGCAAAGGGCATTTTTAAGAATGGTTACTTTGAATACAATGCTTTTATTTATTTTTGAATCTAAGTAGAAATTATTATGGAAAACAAAATAAAAATACAAGCGAGAAATTATAAACCGATTCCAAAATTGCTTTCGGAGTTCAAGGAAATATAGGGTGCTTACAAATGACTGTAGCAGAGTTCACTGAAGTCCAGCAAAAGTATTCCTAAGTTTCCAAAGTCCTAGACATAAATGCCCCTACCCTTAAGCATTGACTCTAGCTTAGATGAACAATTCCAGGCAGTAGGACCATTAAATTGCAAAATCCGAGTTCCCCTTTCATATTCCCATAGTTAAGGATTCTGAGACAGTTTGAACAAGAATAAAAGGAAAAGAGTTTGTAAAAAACGAACAAAAGGTGAAAATGTGCAAACATGGTAGACTGGGAGAAATGAATCTGAATTGAAAAAAAAAAAAAACTAAAATACGAGAACATTTTAAAAAGGAGGAGATGAATTTAAATTCGTATTGTTGAGAAGTAACTGTAAATCGTCATCAACAACAGGATGAAAAGCCCAACGAATATAACTTACTGTAAATCACACATACGTCCCAAATCAGAGTCAACCACCATTTGAACAATATAAAATTGAATCATTTTCCCCAATTAATCATGATTTTTCCAAGATAAGTTTATGCCATCATCACAAAATAAATACATATAAGTCAAATCACCATTAAAAAGTAAAATGGGTAAATAGATTTTTAAATAACCATAAAATCATGCAATATATTCGGATGAAGTTCTCAAAAATAAAAATATAAAATCCGAAAAAAATACAAGAAAAAGTCTAGAAAATGCCAAATTGACACTAAGAACATGACAGCCCAAACGTCTGCATTTCACAGTAAATCATTACATAATGAAATATTAAACCATAAAACAGCTCCCAAATTACTACGAATAGGATCAAAGCACCAGCACAGTTTACTCTATGAATAACCAGCAGTTCAAGATGAGGGAACTGAAGAAACCCTAGAAAAAGGCCACAAGAGAAAGGGTAGAAGAATTTACCATCAAATCTCTCTTCAAAAATGATCTCTGAAACTGATAATGAAAGCAAAAGGCAAAATGGGAGTAGCAAAAGATTCAAATTCAGGGCTTTCTCCATTATAAAATCAGATAGAGGACTGAAGCTGATCAGTGTCGTTAACAAAGTGGGTATTTATAGCACCTGATTGTCTAAAGGAGTTTGGTTGGAGGACCAAATAGCCCTGATCAATTATTGAAATGACGAAAACATCCTTAATCTTGACTTTGGGAAATCGCTTGTTAGATTAAGAGTAGGGGCTCAATGACGAAGTCTCTTGCTCCATTTTCATCTTTTTAAGATTGGTGGACACTTTTTTAGAGTAGGGCCCGGTCTTACTTTTTATTTTTTTATTTTTTTTTTGTTTTTTGCAACAAATGCAAGAGATATTTTAGGGGAACCGGGGTTTCCTACTATTCAAAAGTTCCACCAAAAAAAATATGGCTACAAGAAAAGTGTAGGTATGCGCATGGTTGCACAGAGGGCTCCCAATTGCTTGTTACATGAAAATAAATGGATGATCACAATCGTGTACAATTTTTAAATTTTAATACTAACTTGAAATTATGGGAATCCACATGTAAAATATAATTTGTAAAACAATAATGTACTGTATTTTAGTCATTTTAATTTTTAAATTAGTTTTAGGTGCTCATTTACGCATTGAAAGTAAACAAACCTTAGTATACACGCCCCAAGTATATTGTTTGGGAAAAAAAATGCATGTGTACTAGTGGATAATATTTCTTGCATGGTATTAAGATTTTAATAAATGAAAAAATTATCAAATTATACTCAAGGGTTTGAATTGTTTATCATCTCGTTTATATATTTGTATCTAATTTCAAATAGCCCATCAATCTTCGTATTAAAATTTAAATAGTCCATAAAATAACACATCATGATCAGTTTTAAAGTTTATCAAATCACACCACAAGTAGAATATTAAATAACTCAACTTCAACGTGATTTTACATCATCATCATTATCGTTAAAACCTCTTTCCAACTAATTGACGTATCACATGTATCTTTAAATAAAAGGAAAAGTATGTAAAGAGCCGAGGTTCTAAACAATCAAATTAGAGCCCACCTCAAAAATTTCATTAGAAGAGATTGTTTTGATGCCCAAATATCCTCAAACTGATTTACTTCAAAATGCATGGAGATGAGAAAAAAGTGGATTTCAAGTTTTATAAATAGTACAAGTGGTAATACAATTTTAGGCCGTCAATTTTTAAGATTTTCATGTTTTTATAGATTTGCTCGATCTTTACTATTTTTGAAGCTTTAAATTTTATAATTAGATACGTAAATATAATTTAAGGCTATCATAAAGATTTTAAGTATTGAAACTATATTTCTCGATACTCTTTAAAAATATATTTTACTTTGATTGTTTAGAGCCACACTCTTAAGTAAATAGACACTTTCATTTATTTTACAAAAATTTTTGTGGTCGCTCCATGGAAGGGTAAAATCGTCTTTCCGGAAAAAGTACAAAGACTCGAGACCAGGTTAAGGAGAATTGAGTACTATATAAGTAATTTAATTATTACTTAGGGTATTTTAGTCAATTTAAAAAGATTTTGGTCGTTTGTCTCCTTGACTTCTCAAACCACCAGTGACTTTGCTCCATTTCACGTTACTCTATTTCTTCGTAGATGGCTTGATGGACGGCTAAGATTAAGAAGCCATTTACATGAGAAAATATCCCACTGCATACGTTTTTGGACGCGGTTTCTACGAGTTCATGCAAAAATGAGTTAGCCTCTTAAAAAAAAGAGTCAACCTCTTAAAAATTTATTTTTATATGGATTTTCGATACATGGAGATTGTGAATATGAAAAAATAAATAATTTTTAAATTAAAAATAATAATTTTATTAACAAAATATTTAAATAGTTAGTTTCAATCATTTTTAAATGGACCACCTATTTGCATTTATTTTTAAGATGGATCGTTTATACCTCAAGACGGCATATTATAGAAATGCAGACAAACCCACATAATAGTACAAATTAGTGTTTTAAACCAGATTGAGTGGTTGGATCCGTCACCCATTGGACTCTAGATTTGCCGATCTATGTCAGATTTAATGATTCTCCCGTATGAAAATTGATCTCAATAGAATTTCAATAATAATTTTAATTTGAAAACCTTTATTTAAAAAAATATTAAAATGGGTGGGAATTGGGTGATCTGATGTGGATCACTTGGTTCCCTAACACACTCACCAAGAGCTAGGTAAGTCTATTAATGCCACACGCATTCCCCGCTCTAGGAATCAGTTTGGTCCCCACCAATTCTTGATGTGAATTTGTAGATTTTAAAACGCTAGTGTAAATATGAGCAAGACTATTTATAGGGCAAAAAATTTAATTTTTTTTTCCAAGACATGGTCAAGGTTGAGATGATCAATTTGTAAATCCTATAACATTTTAACCATATTTTTCAGCTCGATATAAGGTGGTAAAATATTCAGGTTGTCTTCCATTTTAACCATAAACAATAGTTTTCTTTGCCAAAAATGATCGTCTTTTTTTTTAAACCTTAATAATAATGTTATTTATTTATTTATTTAACATTAACAAGTAATAATAGATTGTCAAAAACGATCCTCTTATATTTAATTAACCTACTTGTTTTCTAGTCAATTCTTTTAATTGTTTCTCATTCGGAGTGACTACCAATGAAATAGGCCCCTCCCAATCCATGGACCTTGACCTAGATGAAAGATTTGTGATGTTGACACCACATGTAATTGCATTTTCTCTCCCGACCACGAATCAAGGGCCAATAAGATTCAATCCTTTGGTTTTCCAACCAATGGGCACTTGCCTTTTCTATCATAAGGAGATTACAAAGAAAGTCCTAAGTATTGTTTGAGCTTTGAGTCAAATAGAACATGTCGCAGCTAAATGGGAAAATTTGTGAGTCACTATGTCTTGTTTTGAGAAATTGCGCACAGATACTTAAGCCAAGAAATTAGATGGTTTTTTTTTTTTGGTAATTTAGTGATGAAGACGGACATGGTGGTGTCAGTGGAAATGGAAACCCCAAAATGGTGACTACAATGTGGGGGTGATATCTCTACGACCCTAGCCTTTTTCCTAAATTAGATGGGGTTATGCTATCCAAACACTTTATTTCCCATGTTTTGTATGTGGATGTCTTAACACTAGGATTATTGTATCCATATCTATATGTTTTATAGGGTGTGGTTTCTATAAGGTTGCAACCTTAAACAATCCAATTAAAGTGCACCTTCAAATTTTATCGTAACCTGAAATTCTGATGTAAAGCATTTTTAGGATTATCCAAAAATCTATTTTCATATCTAATTATAAAATTTTAAATTCTAAAAATAGTTAATATCAAGTAGATCTATAAACATATAAAAATCTTGAAAATTAGCGGTCTAGATAATGTGCTGCAAAATGCACTATTTTTGCGACTCGAAATATTTTTCTTTTTTCGTATTCATACATCTTGTTGTCGAGATGATAAATTACAAGGTTTTTCAACATTAAAACAATCTTTTCCAATGGATTTTTGAGGTGCATCTGTAATTTTAATGTTGCAACCTTATATAAACTTTTTTTTATATATATTATTAAGCTAGAGTAAAAAGGTGGACATATGTCAAAAGAATAAAGGGGACATATGTCAAAAGAGTAAAGGGGATCCTACAATGAGAGAGAAGATAAGGTTAGGAGTCTGAAAGTTAGGGTGTTACTTAGGGTATGGATTATATAAAGCCAAGAGAAATCCCAAATTTTAGAGCTGAGATTTTTTAGGAACTTCAGATGTTAAGGGTGTTCCCTTTTCTTAATGAAGAATGGATATACAAACTGTCTAAAAAAATTTAAACTAAATCTTACATAAGGAGAGGTGTATTAAAATTTAATTTGACTCATAATTTATATTTTATATTTTTTGGAGAAAATCAATATGGTAATTATTAAAGTTCTAATGTTGTGGCTTTGCGAGTGTGAGAGATAGAGAGAGAGATGAGCTATCTTTCTAAGAGTGCTGGGAGATGGTCTAGGAGAGAAAGATATCAACAAATTTTAGAAGGTATTACAAGGATTCCCTTTAGGATTCTATGATCACCTCGTAAAATTTGTCCATGCTATTTAAAATCAAAAGATAAACTATCTTTATGAATTTTTAAAAAGTGTGAATGAGAGATATATTATAAGTTAAAAATATCTACAAATTATAGAAGGTAAGGTGTGCACGCCAATAAGGAGACACAACTAATGACCAAATAGATAGAGATGATATCAAGAACACTATGGATTATGTTCACATATAGGATCTACAACTTCATGCTCAACGAAGCACTTGGATGACGTACATTTATGTTGAATATTGGTAGATCTAGGATGATGGATGGTAGATCTAGGTTCCTTAGTAATAAATAGCTAGATCTGGGGTGAGGAGGGCTAGATTTGACTTTTCAAATGTTGGATTTGACTAGATCTGGGGTCACGTAAGCTCGATATAGGGTTTGATGGGTATGTATAGAGTTTGGGGTAGCAAATATATGATTTGATGATAAGAGCTGGATCTAGTTATGGGCGGTTCAGACCTAACCAATCTTACTTATCATAATCAGATCTAAATCTGATCTGAAGGGCTGAATAAGTTCAGAACTGGATCTTAGATTGGGTAAACAAGGGCCTAAGGTTAAATTTTTGGGTTTTAGGCCTAAATAATCTAAGACTAGGAGGAAGGGTATGAGGCTATCAGTATTTTAGTCCTAAAATTATATGAGAACTACATCTTTCGGCAAAATTTAGAACTATGCCTTATTTGTTCAGTGTAAGGCCGGCACCTTATATAAACGTCACCCTATAGTACATCTCAAAAGTTCATATTGGGAAAATTTTCATAAGTAGATATTTTACCCATGGGAGTATAATTATAGCATATACTCTTTAGGGAATAAGGGTATAGCATAGTCTTCAGGGAGTATGCTATACTATACAAGCTTGTGACTCCATTCACGCATTCTAGTGAATATACCAATGGCTCTCGCACAATTTGATCTCATTTATTCTTCAGGCACTCAAGTCTTGTGAGCCATAGGGCTGGCAATAGGATGGGCCTAAGCTGGGCTATCCTTGGCCCTAGCCTGAGCCTCTCTTTATAGGACCCACTTGGACCAGGCCAGGCTAAAGAGGCCCTAGCCGAAGCCCCACAGTTGGGGTGGCAATGGACCCGACCAAACACGGGACTCGATGGGTAACCTTGGGTCGGGGTATGGGTTCAAATTTTGGATGCAAAAGGTTGAGTCTGTGTCCAAAACTTGGACCCCGAATACTATTCGGGTCAGGGTCCAACCGGATCCGACTCGAATAATATAGGTATAATGTTATGTGGGTATTCATAAATGTTGACAATAAGTTTGTTTCCTAAGAATTTCCAATTATTAAGTAAAATGATATAGAATGTGGGTATATGTGGTTATTCATAAATATTATATAATACTATAAATATATGATGGTAAAAAAAAAAGGCGCAAAAAAGAAAAAGAGAAGCTCATAGTCACAAGGTGGCAGTGGACCCTACGAGTAGATCCGGGACGCAATGGATCTGAATATGAGTTCAAATTTTGGACCTGAAAGATTGGATCCGGGTCCAGCCGTACCCTACCAAGTATGCTTTGCGGTCTCGTCATTGGAGACACAACCAAACATGGTAATCCAACAATATACAGATCTCATGGCATTATGGCACAGTGGCCACGATTGTTCGAATAGAAGAATCAGCTGATCTGGGACCCTGCAAGTAACAGTAATGGTTATGTTCAATAGATTTATAATCTTTTCTTCTATCACATATGATGACACAGTCAACCATGTCTAGAAAAGGTATGAAATTGATCTATTCCTCATAAAATGAAATTCAAGCTTTCATTTGGTTATTAAGTTTAAAGGACCTATTAACAGTAGATCAGCTCAAAAAGAGGGGCAATATCATCACAAATATTTTCCATTTTTACTTTGAAGACAAAATGAGGAAATTGTGAGTCATCTTTGCATCAATTGTGTCTTCATTTAAAACATTTGGGTTTGTATCTCCAGACACAACATTGATTTGGTGAGAGATATGTATGAAGAAGCGTTAACTAGTGTATGAGCAACTACTGGAGAGACGAGTAAGTTTTAAATGACAATAGGTCTACATCATGGATCAGCATTGAGCACTTACCTCTTTCTTGTAGTTATAGATGACTTAACTAGTCACGTATAAGATGAGGTACCATAGTGCATGTTGCTCGCGGACAGTATAGTTTTGATCAATGAGACCCAAAATGGCGTCAATACAAAGTTAGAACTTTGGAGAGACGCTTTAGATTCTAAAAGTTTGAAAATTAGGACTAAGACAAAATATGTGAAATGCAAGTTTAGTAATAATATGAGTAACGGCAAGGAAGTAGTTAAGATTGAAGACCAAAAATTACAAATAAAAAACGTTCTTTCAATATCTTGATCAATAATCCAAGAAAATTAAAGAGATTGAGGAAGATGTTGCACACAGAATTAGAGCTGGTGAGTGAAGTGGAGATGTGTAAACGAAGTTTTATGTGATCACCGTATACCGTTGAAGCTAAATAACAAGTTCTATAAAATAACTGTGAGACCAGCTTTGCTTCATGGAACAGAATGTTAGGTGGATACCCGTAAAATGCGTATAGCTAAGATGAGGACGTTGAGATGGATGGGTGGCAAGACAAGAAGTAATAGAATTCAAAATGAATATATTCAAGATAATTTAAGTGTGACACCAATAAACAATACGATGAAAGAAAATAGACTTAAGTGAGCTGAACATGTATTATGCAAACCCAATACAACACCTGTTAGGAGGTGTAAGTTAATTCAAGTGAAAGACTCAAAAGGACAATGGGTAGACCCAACATGGCATGATTGGAAGTATTGATAAAAACTATTGAGACTTATGGCCTCACTGAGAGTATAGCCATTGATAGCATAATGACGGACTAGTTTGTACAACCAACGCAATTAGTTGGGATAATAATGACGATCCCAAAATTTGATGTTCTACCAATATCAAGACATATCAAGACATTCATCTAAATTGCTTGATGTAGATCGACCTTGTACACTTCAACAGGGCAAGTATTGTGGAGGATAATGATGGATGTTTTCCCCATAGGTGCTCTGGAAAAGGAGGAACTGGAGAATTTTTGACGGAGTAGTTCTTGATGTTAATAAGATCAAGTGCAAATAAGAGCATCAGCAGCAAATTCGGCTGCAATTTCATAGGAATATTCGAGGGGTGGCTAGATAAGACTCGCTATCCAAGCTAGATGAGTTCTTCAATATGAACAAACACCTTTGGTTATTATTATAAAACTCAACTGTGATGGCAGCTCAAGATGACTATTAGGTCAACTTCGATGGCAGCTCAATACGTAATCTAGATGATGTAAGGGAGAATTAAAAATCACATGGTGTCTTTAATGGATGAAATTCATATATTATTTAGGGGGAAGAATATCACCAATGTTCATGCCTAGAATGAGGCTTAACCAAGAAGCAGATACTTTCGCAAAGCTTACTGCTCTAAATAATGTTAAAGAGCAACTGATTACCTATTCAGTAACCAGGCATCTGAGTAGAGATTGTGAAGTTAATGAAATAATACCAATTAAATTAAAACAGATAAAGCTAAAGATAAAAAGAGACCTTGTTTGATATATCAATTTATGGACTATTGATTCTTAGTATTGAATGATAAATAACATGTTAGAACTTTAACAATAAATACATGCCACATCTTCATAACTTTAGTGTACACAGTAAATTAAGAAGCCGGCCATCACCTCAACTATTAGGCTCAAGCCACACACCCTCCTTTCAAGCACCCCCAATTTTCCTTTAAGCAAAAAAAAAAAAAGGAAATAAAAAAGAATAAATTATCTCGCCGGCTTTGAATCGACAGCTCGATCTGTACCTGTTTGGTTATTTCCCAAAGCAACAGACGCCAGCTCCACATGAATGAGCAAATAATCGTAGATCTTCTTTCTTAGCCCATCAAGTCTGTCAGTGAGCCCATCACCTAAGCCCACCTCATCGAGCCAATCATTCACTCTTTTGAGCTGTGATAGCATAGCGGCTACCCGTGTACTATCTGTTGGGTCTGCTTCACGCCCATTAAGAGGCCCGCCAATGGAGCCCGCATCCAAGAACCTCTCTAAGAAGCACAAGAACCAGCTCTGAGATTGGGCCCGAAGTGACTTGGCCAGGCCCACTGCCTCTTCAAGCCCACCAAGTCCACGGGCCCACTCCGGCTGTGGAGGTGGCGCAGTGGTACCTTTTTGAGGTGGGTTTTTAGTGGGGCCTATGAGAACTGGCCGGCTCTTGGCTCGGGTGCCTTGGGACAGGGTTCTGGAGGGGTCTTCAAGGACTACAAGGGGTTGGACACGGGTTTGGACTTGGACATGGGCATGGGCTTTGGTTGGGTTTTGTTGCTTGAAGAGAGAGAAAGGAGAGAGGTCGGATGCAAGTGCAGCTTGAGCCCATGACATAGCATGCTTCCGCTTCTCGGCTGAGAGCTTCAGCTCATCCTCTGTTGGTCCCACAGGCACTTCAGCCTCATGGAGGCCTGGTGAACTTGGGGAGTTGGCCTTTTGAAGGGACTCCGCAACCATGGTGGCTCTATTGAGGTCAGCATGGAGAGCTAAGAATTGCTCCACAGATGGCTGTGGATCTTCCTCTTTGGCTGATAAGTTAAGCTCAGCATATACACTGTAAAAATCCAGATGGTGCTACAGTAAGCATACAATGAGGGCTGATGCACATTCATCTTCAGGATACAAGAAAAACCAAGGTATAAAAGAATGTTACTTATTCAGTACTACAGTAAAACAACAGGAAACACAAGAGAATTGCCTTAAAAGAGATGGAGAAAAACAAAATTATAATAGAGAGTGAGTGAGTGTGTGTGAATAGCCTTAAAAGAGATGGAGAAAGACAAAATTCCAATAGAGAGTGAGTGAGTGCATGTGTCTAGAAATAAGTGGATTGTTGTCTTTCTGAACAGAGTTTGTAAGTGTCCATCCAAACAAAAGAAAGTAACCGCGTTAGTGGGGACTTTTCGGAGAAGAAACATGACTTCTCACTTCTACCAGTCACATTTACTGTTCCTCGATGCTGATACAACTGCAGAAAGTGCACCTCAAAACAGCCCTACGCTATAGCACACATGAACGTCGCCGCTCCGTATAGAGCCACCCCTCTCTTTTGTTCGATGAAGGCAATGACAGGGATAGTTTCACTATATATACTTGTTACTCTCATTCTAAATGGCCAGTGTGGGACAAAAACATCTCGTTGACATTGATTGACTTTTGAATTTGCACAAGATAAAGTAACTTCTACAAAAATATAAAACATAGCACATGGTACTTTTAACTTGTATTAGTTTGAAATGGAAACAAAGTAATTTTCCTATGCAAAAATACTAAAGATTCTCTAACGAGGGTGGTGATCTCCAGAGCTGATTTAGAGTGTTAGGGATCGCTGTCCTTTGTGACTTTAGGCATGTGATGTACCTATTGCACTCCTTTCTATAACATAGTGAAAATTCTACTCTTTTCCCTGACTGAAATCCCTCACATACACTTGCAAATAATTCTATAGTTGATTTGTTTTCAAAGTTCTATGTCAGTCACAGCCTCAGGATCCTTTTCCGTAATTGCCACCAGGTGGTTGTATACTATTTCTTTCTTCAAATGTATAATATCTTGGCCCCAGTTGGTCTTAATTCATCCAACTACCACAAAGTTTCTGATGTCATGGTTAGTGGATCAGAGTTTATTCTTAGCATGGAAACCATTTTCTCACTTCAAGTTGAATTCATGTGATTTCAAAATTGTCCACAGTGATTCAAACAATTTGCTACCTGATTCCTTGAGCATGAATCTCCCCTCCAAATAAGAATTATCATTTATAATTGCCAATTCAACCGCGAGATTCCCAATTTGTCCCATGCCACCTTCTCCAAAGAGGCGTCGATGATTCATGCCGGTATTTCGGCAACTGTGGTGAAAATTTAATCTCCCCTCAACATCTGAGGATGTCTGAGAAGGGGAAAAGAGAAGGATTTTTGTAAAGAAGGTGCTGGACGAGAGACTGGGCCAACTTACTACTACCATGCCATGGTCGAAGCTTGAGGCTCCATAGACTGAACTATGCATAAGGTCTTTTTTTTGGAGGGGAGGGCACCACTCAGCACCAACCAGTGGGGTTCAATGCCTAACAAAAACAAAACGCACAGGCCAAAAACAAAAAAAAAGGGGCAAACAAAAGAGATGTGTGGCTGAGGAGAGGAGAGAAAGAACGCATGCATGGAGTTTCTTTCTGTCGGAGGTTCGAGAATCTATGAAAGGACATCTAAGGAAGAATTCCAGGAAGTTCAGATTATACTTTCTGGCAAATGGTACACTAACAATGGATAGGGAATTGGGCCTAGCAGAAAGCCACAAACCATATTCAACTCTTTACATTGCTTTAGATTTGCTGATAGAAGAAGATATTCTATTGCAAAGGCAGCGCATCTCGCTTCAACCAATATTCAGAAACTTTTTTTGGATTTTCAGAAACTTCTTTACGGATAAAAATCACTACTAGAAAATCATTCAATTAAGCCGATGATCCTACAATTAACTCGAAGAATTTCAATGAATTTCCCATGGACAAGAATCAAATGTGCCTATTAAGTTTCATCCAGGACAACCGTCAAGAGGGTACAAATGATAATCAAGAGATTGCAAGTTTCTGAATTGATTAAGCTGCAGATGAATTGGTCAAAACTGAGTAAAACAAGCGGAATTGTTAAGATGAAAACTCAATGGAATTCAATCCAAATTATGGCATGAGTTACTAATTCCATACAATGATCCATAATTATGGCATAAACAATCGCCAATCCCACCAAGGCAGCCTGGGACCATCTTAAGTGATTGTACGTTAGCAGTTAGGACAAGCATCAGCCATTGTATGTAGATCTAAAAAAAGTAATACATTTATTGATGGATATTACTCTGCTGACATAAGACATGGGATGAACCCACCATTTCTAATAAAGGCAATGCTCTTTCATGATGTCAACAATAGGTCAATGCTGACATATGTGCTCCTAGAACTGCAACTTATCATTATTCAGCGCATCAAAACAAACCTCTTGGGGAGCTGCATGAGAACTTCCTCAAGGGTGAGATCTCCATCTTTCTCCTATCTTACAAGCTCCCATAATAATGTGAAATGTCCATCGGAAAATCTTATGAAAATTCTAATTGCCCTTTCTATAAGAGGTGTGTGTGCAATCTTTTTTTTTTTTGGTTTAAGAGGGGAAGGAGGAAGGAGGGGGGTTAATATGATTTGTGGTTGTCCAATATCAGTTCTTTTATTCTGTTGAGAAAAGAGTAAGTAGGGACTATCCTCTAATTGATCCACAAAAATGCCAAAAATCTTCACCAATCAAATAAACAAGCCAATCTCTGATGTTTAGCCGTTGTCCCATTTTCACCAAAGAAGGAGAAAATCTTAACCTCTAAAATGTCAAGCGAATTCTGCTGATGGATGAAAGAACAATTTCCTTTTTTTAAAATAAATGAAAGAATAAATTTTGTACCTGACAGCACAAGAAAATATGTTCCACTTTAATGGCATTATATCTGTTTACCAGTGTGATACTATATCTCAAACTACATAATATCCGTAACAATTCCATGTTGTGAGTACAAGGGCATGGCGCACTCTGAGAAAGAACAGAAAACATGAATTCAGAAAAGCCTTCCCCCCATAAAGGAGCTAGGCAGAATGAGTATTGGATGAACGTAAGTGGAAATTGAGTGGCTGTCTTTCTTACTAAGCACATACCATACTAACCTCCATTCCACATAGTCATAATCCTTTTTTAAGGCAAAAATGCAAACATGCCCAAGTGTTCCTTCTTTTTGCCTTGGAAAGTTGAGTCCAACCTCTTGCCCTATTTGAGCTGCCTGCCTAAAACTAATGCCCCTTGGCCTACAACAATGCTAACCCAAAAAACTCCTGCAACTTCATATATATCTCTTTTGAAAGAGTTGCAAGTAGACTGAACAACAATCTAATGGGCTCATCTCAACACCTTCATTTTTCCCCTCTCTCCAGTCCTAGCACAAGGGTAGAAAATATTGAACTCACAACCCATAAACTTAATCCAACAATAATATTCACAAGAAAGAAAAATCACACGCATCCTTCTTGATGACATCCCACCATGACTGATAAATAACAGGAATAAAGCCACCCATGTGAGTGCTCTCACCCCAAGTTGAGGACCACCTAGCACAAGGGTAGAAAATATTGAACTCACCAACCCATAAACTTAATCCAACAATAATATTCACAAGAAAAAAAAATCATATGCATCCTTCTTGATGACACCCCCAACATGACTCATAAATAACAGGAATAAAGCCATCCATGTGAGTGTTCTCACCCCAAGTTGAGGACCACCTTGCGCACCTCCTTCCATTCCAACTAAGGCTCCAAGCATCGCAGGAATCTAAAGGGAGCACGACAAATCCTATCGTGTCCAACCACGGCTGAAGTAGTACAACTTATCGAAGTCCACAGCAGAAATCATAACAGATGAAGAGTCCTAAAAGGGGCTATTACTAACAGAGAACAGATGCAATTAACCTTTCCCATGCACTTTACTTATCTTATGAAGAATCCAATTTTGCGATCCCCTCTTTTAACTATCAATTTTTTATTTATTTTTTCCCTATTCATGAACAATGGAATCTCCCTGAAATATAGAAAGTGAAAAGATAACCAGATTGGTAGATTGAGACCATAGAAGAGAGCCACCAAAAAAAACTAAAACCATTTAGGTAAATGTAACTACAACCCAAAATGTTAAAACCCTCCAGGCCAAAACAAATAAGACGCTGCTACTTCAAATCGAACACCTCACAGATGAACCTGCAACTTCAAGTGCTGTTTCTTGCTAAAATTCAAATTAAATAATAGATCCAATCATGCTTCAACATTACATTGATCGGATTCCCATGAGAAAGTGAATAATCCACGGTGCACACAGACCACAAATTTCACCTGCATGAACTCATTGTTATGTGTAGTTCTGTGAAGAATGCCAAAGACAATCAAGATATATAGCAACTAGATAACTTGGTGGCTTTAAACTACGATAAGATGAACAATTCACAAGATTGGAGAAGAATCATCCACATTGTCATCATCTGAGCCTTTTAGGGTTGGCTTAACGAATCTTATTCTGCCATTCTGCCCTATCAGGGGATCATACACTCAATCAAACCATTAGTAACCATATCTTTTCTAACTACTTCCATTTATGTCCTTGAGGCCTTCCCCTTGCCTTTTTATAACTTTCTACTTGAACCAAATCACCCCTGACGTTCTAGGTCAATGTTGCACATGACCAAACCACCTAGTCCATCCTCTCTCATTTTATCTCCTATTGGAGCTACCCCTAAGTTCCATCAAATGCATTTATTTTGAATTGTATCTTTCTTTGTCTTGCCACTCATCCATCTCAACATCCTCATCTCAACTACACTCGTTCCATGGATATGTTGCTTTTTGACCACCCAACATTATGTATCATAAATCATTGTTGGTCTTACAGCTGTTCTGTAGAATTTTCCCTTTAGTTTCATTGTTATGTGACGATCACATAAGACCCCAAAAGCACAACTCCACTTCATCCACCTAGCTCTAATTCTATAAGCAACATCTTCTTCAATCTCTCCTATCTCACAAATTATCAACTCAAGATAACGAAAATAATATCTTTTAGGTACTTCTTAACCATTAATCTTAACTAATTCCCCTTTTCTGCTCCTTATTACTAAACTTGCATTCTATAAATTTTGTCTTAGTCTGGCTAATTTTAAAACCTTTAGATTCTAAAGCATCCCTCTAAAGTTCTAAATCCTAGTCAAATAAATTCCCACTTAGGAGTCAAAACAAAATGTATCTGTAAGTATAGATGTGGCCTTATACACACAACAAACAAACAAAAAATGAGTGGCCTTGGCACAAATGTTGTTCTTTTAAACATATTTCACAACTTAACTCAATCCTTGGAAAATTACATTAATTCAAGCAACATGTAACTATTCGCCGCAATAACCCTTCACAGGTTGCATAAATCAGATGAGTGCATATTTCCAACTCAGCTTTGGGGGTTCCTCTCCAAATCCTTCTCAAGTACTCTAATATACCCACTAATTTAAGGCTCGTGATTAAATCGTAGAACTCAGAGAAACAACTGTATAATGTTCTCTTTAACTATTATTTGAACAATAGATCTCAGTATGTCTCCCAATCATAGTTAGCACGTCGGCATTTAAAACGCGACTTTTTAAAAAATACGAAGTTTTTTTCAAAAACGTTTAAAACTGCTACTCTTTTAAAAGGTCAGCAAAAATACGCCGTTTTTTTACATAAACGTTTAAAACATACCTTATTGATCTTTATGAAAAAATCAGTCAAAAAAAACTTTGCCTTTTTTACATGTATTTTTTTTTCCCTAAAAGATGAAAACTTTTTTCCTATTTTATGTAATTTTTATTTCCATGCTTTCTAAAAAGTATATTATTACCAAAAAACAAAAATTCCCTAAAAAAATAAATTTTTATCCTCAAGTATATTGTTAAGGTTTATTATCTTAGGGTTTATGCTCAAATACATTGAATCAAATTAGAATAAAATAACATAAAAACTATTGATAAAAAATCCCCAAATTTTGACTAGGCAAAATTCACCAAAAAATCCATCCAAATTATGACTCAAAGACCCAGATTATCACAACTTATACATCTTAAATACCTAAAACAAAAGCTTAAAAAAAAAAAAAAACAGATTAGAGCTCAATCCCCAAACTTAATTCTTGACTGGAAATCTTTGATTAGTAAATCCCTAAAACAAAAGCTTAACAAAAAAACTAGATTAGGGATCAATCCCCAAACCTAATTCATGACTGGAAATCTCGGATTAGGGTTTATGTCCACCGTGTTCTTCATCTTCTCTGAGATTTTATTCCATTTTGTTTCTATGTGCCTATGCATGCTCTCTCTCTCTCACTCTGCGTTTCTTTATGAAATATTTTGTATTTGCTTCTCGTCTTCTTGCTCTGTGTTTCTTCTTGGTCTACTATGTTTGTTGCTCATCTAACCAAAAAAGGTGTACATCTTCCCATTGCATAACTATGGTTATAAAGGGACAGTCACCATATAGAGACAGAAAGGAATATACCCAACTCAATTCTACTTATCTTACATTGCCTTTTTTTTGCCTTATGTACTAAGTATGTGTGGTGTTTGTTAAAGCATTTAATGAGAAAATTCATATCGTATATTTCTCAGCAACTTATCATTTTATTTTTTTTTATTTTTACTTAATTTATTTTAAACATGTTCGTTTTTTCACTCCGATTTTTTGAGCCTAGTCCGATATATTTGCAATATTTTTACATAAAGTATTTTTTCTGATCCGTATTTTTGACATGATTTTTTCATCCGAATTTTTAAAATAAAAACAATTTATTTCCGATTTTATGGTGATCTGATATATTAATCTTCCCCGACTTGCTAACTATGCTCCCAATAGAATATTAAGGAACAAAGTAGTGATGAAGGTATGCAATAATCAACCAAATTTACGAAATAACACTAGCATTTTGGCAAGAATATCAATCATTGGCCACTAAAACGACGACGTTGCGTGCTCTGCCCCTCATAGATCAGAAGATCAAATGAAAGGTAAAGGTCACTTAGAGTGAAAATGCAAAAGATCCAATTCCTTTGCATACCAGCTGTATATCCAGAGGCAATTCCAAAAAATTAACAAATTCATTTGCAGACCAGCAAAGAATGTAAAGCTACTAACTTGTATTCTCATTATAAACTCTCATGGAAGTCAAGCAGGACTCGAACTCGGAGAGTGAACAATAAAGAGATTTTTCTCTGATGTGAATAATAAATTTCAAGAATTATTCTCTGGTCAGAGCGCTCTCATTAACCTATGATTACCTCAAGCATCGGATCAAACTCTCTTGAGCAGAAGCTTCTTGTAAGGCCTCAACAGCTGCCACTAGTGCTTCGTCTCTATGCCTCACAACTTCCTAAGATACCAAAATATAATGACCACAAAATATTGGTAAAGAGTGTAATATAAGTTTTAGCGCAAAACTTTCAAAAGGCAATCTAAGAAGTTAAAAGATAATGGGGTCAAAAGGGATTTGAGCATGGAAATTATCTGATGCAAAATCATAATTAAAAAGGCCACAATAGCCCAAGATGATAATCTACCTTGCCAAGCTTCGCTAGACCAGATGGGAGTGAAGCCCATGAGATGTTACTATCTGTCAGTCTTTTGTTATTGGCAACATTGACTAAATTGCTTGGGATGCCATTATTTGATATATCACCAGATGGTTTCCTCCCAACAGAAGGCTTTTTCCTATTTGAGACGTTGATTGTATTTGAAGGTGCTTCCACATTTCCCTTCTTCAATGGTGCCTGCACTTTGTTCTCCTCTGTAGCTGTTGGTTTGTCATTCCCAACTGCTTTCTTTCGAGGAACCTGAATTGGATAGGATGACAGACTTACATAAATCACCATCTTAATAGGATGTATTCGTTCAGAAAGTAAATAAGAAGATAAGAAATAAGGAATCTCAAAGAACTTAGATTAAATGCCATGTTAAACTGTATTCATTCAGAAGTAAATAAGATGATAAGAAATGAGGCATCTCAAAGAACTTAGATTAAATGCAATGTTAAACTTTATATATGCGATCAAAGAGTGATCTGAGTAATAAAAGCTGCAATTGACTAAATTAACAAGTCAATTGTTTTCTGATATACAAAAGCATAACACTATAACTCCAATTCAGAGCCAGATTAGCAGAATTCCAAGATGTCAATACTATTTGACAGCAAAAAATTAAGGGGGTGGTGGTCGATTGCTAACAGAGCATCTCTTTAACAAAATTATAAAAAAAATATGAAAATTCAACAAACAATCAGATCAAAAAAATGGAAGAAACCTTCATTGATTATGCACAATTAATATATGATATGCACGATCATGAACATGGCTCCATGCAAGTCTTAAAGGAAAACAGACAAAGTAATAAAGAGAGAGAGAGAGAGAGAAAGAGAGACTCACAGAAGCACTGCGTGTATCATGATTTGGGTCACGCTTAATTGTCTTTGCCGCCATATTCTCTCTATTCTTAGCTGCAATATTTTCCCTCTTGAGATCTAGTGTCCCTTCCCAACTCCTCCTCAACACTTTACCCCCCAAATCAAGAGCAGGAACCAGACTCCCACTAGAATTCCCAGTAGATACCCGCTTGCCCACTGTGCTCGCCTTCAAAACTGAAACCGCCTTTTCGATCAATCCCTGCCGGAACTTCTCAGACCTCTTCTCTGAATCCAACCTCAATTTTCCCTGCTCCTTGACCCCAGCCGAAAACTTCTCAAAAGAAGTAGGCAAAGAGAAACAACTTGTGGGTGATGACGGAATCGACCGAGAGTTCAAACCATTGGGTTTCTTACTAGAAGTTAATCTAGCTCCATTTCCAATCGAAACAGAGGAATTTTCTCTGTCCTTACGTACACCAGCTTTCAAAGATAGCGATCGCGATCTATCAAAAGACTTCACCTTTGCAAGCTCATCCTTACTATTAACACTGCCACAATTCGGGTTGATCTTTGCTGAACCCGATTGGTTAATGGTGATTTTATTCCCTGGAGAACTGGGCCTTTCTTTGTTCTTCTGACCAGCCCCATTTTCCATACCTGCCTTGGAAGAGTTCTTTTCAGAACCCAAACCAGTGGCTGAACCAGAAGGATTAAGAAAACACAGAGAATGGGTAGCAACAAGATCTTCAGGGGTTCCTATGCATGGGTGCCTACCTGCAACGGGTTTCACCCCTCGTAAAATTGGAACTGGAGACGCAGATTCTAATCTCTCAACATACATGAACTGACCCAATTGGAGTTTATCACTAAGGATCAAATCATCTTGTTCATCAGGCAATGAGACATAGGTGGCATGTGAAGAATCTGAAACTTTGAGATAGAATCCCTGATTAGGCCACAGCTCGCCACCTGCCAAAGCTGGAACAATGCCTATAACTTGCAATAAAACAGACCTATGTTCTCCTGCTATCTTCACATCTGTGTTCATATGTTGCAGGAGCTTGAGAAGGACTCCTGGTACTAAATTCGCCATTAAAAACCTCAAATTTCTTGAATTGAAGAAGTTCTAAGCAACCAAGAAGCATACTCTGAAGAACCAGGTGTCTCAGAAAGCAACCTCTTTTTGCAATCACTGAAACTTACCCACAAGTTCGTTTCAGTTGAAGAAGAAGGTGCGGCTGGTTTTAAGGATGCCCGAATCTGACATACAAATTACAGTGGCGGTTAAAGAGCAAAAAAGCACATCAAATTCCAAAGACAGTAAGGATTTCGCAGAGAATAATGGCTCCCATTATTCTAACTGCATTTTATATACCAAACAAATAACAGAAGTCCTTGCCATAGTTAATTTTTTGGGTTTTTATTTTTCTTCAAAGCCAGAGAGGATTTCAGAGACTAATGGCTTCTAATATTCTTAACCCATTATATAATTTACTTAACTAAAAATAAATGATTATTCAATAGGTAAATTTTTGTTTCTTTTTTGAGGCATTACAAATGATGGGGTTTTTTTGCAATAGAAGCCGCGTGTGCATATGGCTGGATGTCGGTTGTGTGTTGACTGACCCTTGGTGGGTGATCTCTGGCTCCATTTTAGCTTTATACTTTTCTTAAGGAACAAAGATATAGCAATAATTACTAGCGCAGATTTTTTGAAATAAAAAATAACGATTACTAGGAAAATAGTAATATAAAAATGCAGGTTTTAAGAGAATTGAAGTAAGGATAAAAGGTTTTTTTTTGACAATAAGGATAAAAAGTAATTATGGAGAAAACAAAGATGAGATGATTAGAAATCACCACAAGCATGAAGTTTAAGATGATGAATAATAATTACCAAGAAAATACAGAAATTTATTATGAACAAATAATAAATGTTTGCCCAAGAAAAAAAAAGGAAAAAATTAAAAAGCATTCAACTTTTTACTTATTTTTTTATTGAAAATTTTAAAAATTCCATCAAAATACACATTATTATCATGAGTTGAAATAATTGTAAATGGTTAAAATGACAAATTATTGATAAATAATATATATTTGGATAAAGGCATTAAAATTACACTGCATTTCATATTATAATTGAATCTACTGAATTAATCTGGGTATATCTTAATAAAAATTTTATTTATCACTCATATTTGGGATAATGAAATAAGGATAATAAAAGGGAAACACTTCCGCGTTAACCTTATACATCATCATTGCCTGAAAAAGCAAATGGAACTTTCAATGGAGGGTCCAGATTTCTCCAGCACAATGATGGAGAGAGATATTTTTCACCATTTTTAGCATAAATTTTCAAAATTGGGCAAAATTTGTGACAATTTGTTTACCTCATGAATTGATGATCTTTCGGGGAAAAATTTCGCCGAAATTTTAGCTATCGACGCCTGTGATTGGCCAATGATTCCTCGACTTTCGACCTAACAATTCCACTGTAACCGACAACCTAAAGCCAAAAGCCATGAAAATTAATCATTTTATATCGGAAATTGAGCACTAAATTATTAACTTTGCGGCATAAATAATTAAAAAAATGAAAGAAAAAGCCTATTCCACACCCTAACCACTTCCCTATTATAGTGCTCGATTAATTTAAAGAGAGAACAGTAATTAATTGCTCGATTAATTGTGCCCTTACCTCTAACCCTCGGGCTTCATCTCTGCAACCTCAGCTCAAATTTCCGACCACTTTGCCCGAATATGGTTCAATTTCCACCGGAAAATGATCGGAAAAAAAACAGGGGATCCTCTACATGTGGATTCCCATCGAAGCTCGAAATTCGAGCTTCTTATCTTCAAAATCGCAGCAAAATTTCGAAGTTTTCTCTGGCATTCAGGCGCAATATTTTCCCGGTCAACTCCCCGGCGATTTCTTTGGCGGGAAACGAATTTCCGGCAATGAGATGAGGGATTTTCCGGCGAGTTTTCGCTCTTTTTCAGGGCTTTCTCGGAGTAATAGATCTATGCAGGGGCACCAGCAGACAATGACGTAAGCCCTACACGTGCCACGTGGAGATCGTTGAGGCTTCGTCTGTCCCACGTGGTAGGTCCACTATCCAGCTCTCGCACGTGTGAAATGAATGCGTTGTCTATGTTAGATGTAAAATACCAGGAAAGTTACAAAGAAGTCTCTTACTTATGGTTTAGCAGTAAGTACAGCTGCTCCCGCGGGATCAAATCGTATATATACTCCCGAGCAATGTTCCCTTTAAAAAGGTTTTGTGGAATTAAAATTTTGGAATTTATTTTAAAATTATAATATGATTTGCTTTCATCATCGTTATCCGAACTTTATGTCAACTATTTGGGGTCGACTTTAGTACTAATATTTAAAAAAAGTAAGTTTTGACTTTCAAATTAGATTTGACTCTAATGTTGAATGATCTATATTCAACATTATGAAATACACCATATATACTATGCTCTAGAGAGTATTATCAATCTACAGTCAAAATACCTATTGGGATGATTTCACTCTAAAATTATGAGAACCACCTAAAAATTACTAGATGACTACTTTCGCAAGAAAAAAAAAATTTAAATTTTGAGTTTTTTTAACACTTAGATGTACAAGTTGAAGAAATTATATCTCCGAAATTTGAGGTCCTAACATTACTCCTATATTGGTTTTCATATGAGGGAGTAAATAGATGGTATACTCCCATGGGAGTATAAAATCCTTTGGCTACAAAATGTATATAGGGTGCAGGTAGCCGCACCATCTATGTGAGTCGGACATTATGGATTTGATATACGTTTTTAAGGCAGCATCAAATTTTGATTATAATGTCAAATCTACACCATCTAACTAAATAAACAGTATAAATTACTCAAAACAATTGAAATTTACCATCACGATGTGTAATAATAAAAAAGGGACCGCCGATTTCTTTTTGGATTGGATATAAAAGTATGCCATGATCAGTTTAGCCATAGGCATTCGATGGTTACAAGTATAATCACCATGCAATACATGGATAGATGCCGATGGATGCAGCCGAGACCCATTAGAGCTTCCCATGATCTGAGCAGTAGCTCCACTAAAACTCCATCGCCATCCAAAATAAACGTATGAATGTCTACTCTTTGTGGTCACATGGATCATAGTTAATAATTTCCCTACCATAAATAGCATGTTCCAGTGGGAGCATAATGTACCATAAGTCCCTTGCGCAAAATAGGGAATTTTTTGGTTAAAGATCAAGTTTTGGGAACCATCTAAGCATCATTAGATGATTATTATCCAAAAATAAGAAAATAGATTTTGACTTCTTGAACATCTAGATCTTTCCCTTTAAATATTAGACAGTTCATGTGCAATCTTGGGATGTTACCTTTTTTAGACATGTAAAGCCGTGAGATTTATTATTGTTATTATTATTTACTTTGAGATTGGTCGTCGGTTCTAAAGGTTACATCTCTAAAATTTGGCATCTAAACATATTGCTAACATTATATTTGTCCGGAGGAGTAAATGATTAGTATACTCCCACAGGAGCTGAAAATCTTTTGGTTAATTTTCCATAGATAATTAGGGACAATATTCCTTTCCAAAATGGGGATGGGCCAGAGAAGACATCCAAATTTGGAAATTTGGAGGCACTTGCCAGATTTGGGGAAAAATGATATTTATGCAAATTTATTTTTTATGGTAAGTTTTATGGTCTAGTGGTGTGAAAGCTCTTGTCTTAGCATGGGAATATGGAAATATTGCTAAAATAAAAATGGGACTAGTGTCCACACAAATGTGGAGGTTTTTGGCCCCTAAATTTGGTGGCAATTACCAGTTTTAAGAATGGGAAACCCTAGCCTTTGCTTTGTGTGGTATTTTGGTCATCACACCTTAGGCTTTGCTTTATGTGGCAAGTTTTGTAAAAAAATTTTTATTGTAAAACTATGAAGAGGCTCATGAATCTTTTGTCATTGCTTTTGATAAAATATGAAAACTAACCCTCTAATTAAAAATAAGGAAAAATTAATGGCAATAAGCAGCACATGAGAATTATTGCCTTTGTTTTGTGTAGTATTTTAGTCATTTCACCATCTAAGAATCATGGCTTTCGCTTTACATGGAAATTTTTGTCATGGCTTTTATCAAATGAGAAAACTACCCACTTTAGAAAATTAAAAAGTGGAATGGGTATAGCGTCTACATGATGGAGATGCTCAAGGGTGCACAAGCAGTGGTTCAGATTGAACTTGATATTTCTAGCGGTCTAGAAATAGTTTTGTTTTTTATTTTTATTTAAAATTTATTTATCTAAATTTGGGGTATAGATTATTTTCTATATGATGCACTAAATAAAATAATAAAAAATGTTTTGAACAAAAAAATTGACTAGAACATCCTCAAATTATTTCAGGGATATTATGGTCAATATTTTTATTCGACATCTTTTTTTCTTTTTTTATTTGGTACACCATTTAAAAATACATCTATATTCAAAATTTTAGATAAGTATACTTTTTTTTAATATATATATATATATATGAAATGCTTTTGTGGCTACGAGATGTGGCCATCTTTGATCTAAGGCATTGCAAGGGTTCTTGTGCACCCTTTCACCATCTATATTATGGATGGGAGACTCCCATTAAAAAAAAAGAAAATTTATGAAAATATCTATGAGAGATGAACTATTTAACATATTACTCATATAATTGATTTAATTTCAAAATACCCATAAAAAATCATATGATCATGAGTTGGAATAGTTGCAAATTTGTAAAGAATTGTATAGTGCATCTCTCATGGATATTTTAATAAGTTTCTCTTAAAAATAACAATTGCAACAAGGTGAGAAAAATATTGTGGGGGTCATGGAAATTTACTGGCTCACATCAAAATGTGAATTGATGGATCATTAATCTTAGTAGAAAAATCCATAGGTGGCTAGTTAAATTTCATATGTTTATGTATTTAAGTTGAAATTTTCATTGAGTCTTGAATCCCACACATCCACACTAACCCATCTAAGAAAAATAATATTATTTTAAATTTCCAACATTTCAAAGAGGCTCCCCCTGCACAAATTATAGCTTCAAGAATTATGCTCAAAGCCCAACATTTCCTTTTTACTATCTATTTTTAATCTATTTTTTTGTCTTTTTTTGTACTCTCACTTATCAAATCATCAAAACCAATAAAAGTCCTGATCATACAAATAAAAAAGCCCAACAGTCCAAGCCTTTATTGGCTGGGTGTGACTTAAGAGTCCAGCCTACCAAATATAGAAGATTATGTGTAGAATATAAGTTTGTATTTAGGTAAAATATGTTGAGACTTCAACTCAACCACCAATGATTACATAAACTATTTTGTGGCATTTGAATCTAGCATTCAACTGCTGCCTAACTTCCACATATAAAAGCCCTTTGTTTAAAACATAAGATATTTAAACTTATTAAAGAAGTGGCCACAAACATATGGACACACATGTGTAGTTATTTAATACAACCATTTCATAACCATAAAATGGGACTTCTTCTACAAACAACTACTTTGAGGTGACTTTAAACTTTGTAAACACATACTCCTCATTTCAATGATCAATCTCAAAGAAAGGAAAAGATGAATATGCAACCTGGAAAAGTTCTAAATGAGTTAAACTCAAACAATGAATGCCATCTATTCGGTGGAATTTAGATCTAAGCTTTTAAGAACTCATAACAAATTTTCTTATAATCATTCATTCGACGATGATGATGTTATTCAAAGTATTTATAGGGTTAAAAAAAAAAAAACCCAAGGCCTAAATCTAACCATCCAATTAAATGAACTACTTCTATTTAGTGTTCAAAGAAAATGCACTTTTAAGGTGCCTTTCCAAATCGACCACTGGATGTAAAATCTGGATTGCTGGAGGAATAGCATTGATTAAGCTCAAAGTTTGATTTTTTTTTTTTAACTTTGGATTAAATTTCCTTTTCGTTTGGTCTAAGAGCAATTAAATAAAGTCTAAAAGCCATTTTCACTTAAAAGTCTAAAACCGAAACAAAAAGGGCCTTTCTCAAGAACATTGACTCAATGGACCTCAAAAGATAAATAACTGTGGTTGCAAAATGAAGGCATTTTCGTCGTTTGGCATTGCTCCTTTATCATGCATTCCAACGTATGGTCACACCAACTCCCAAAAAAAAGGCCGTAAAAAAGATGCAAACAACCGATTTAAAACAAACAGCGACATGGAGCTAAGCTCATCCAAAACAATTAATAAAAGAAAAAAGATAACAAAGTTGGTAGCTTTTGCTCCTACCCACATATGGAGAACACCTAAGAAACGTTTCCACTCTCCAGCATAACACAATATCTCTCTCTCTCTCTCTCTCTCCGGCATAACACAATACTAGAAGTGTCTAATAACTATCTCTCCTTATTATAATTATCAGGATCGGACCGGCTACTAAATCAGTGAGGGTCGTAGCACTAAATTGATGAGAGGGCTGGTCCAATCAAAACCAATTCGATTGTTAGTAGAAATGATTTGATCAATTTTGGTTGTTGCATCTTTGGGTTTGGTTAGAACAAACTGTAGAGCTGTATTTTGGCTTCCACCACCATCACATTCGATCAAAATAAACTTTGATGGAGTAGCCTTGGTAACCCTGGCCCAGCAGAGTTTAACGGACTCATAAGAAATACTTTGGGTCACATTTTGTGTATGTCCTTTGGTCCCTATGGCGTCACTACAGCTAATGAGGCGGAAGCTCGGGGCCCACTAAAAAGACTTAAATTGCTTTTTAGATGGGAGGGTGTAAAGATTATCGAAGGAGATTCGGCAAATATGATGGTTTGGATTAGTGAAGTCTTCAATGTCCCTTGGGGATTAAGATCCTTATATCCCTCCAAAATGTTAATATTCGCCATTGTTACACGGAGGCCAATGAGGAGGTAGATTGCTTAGTCAAGGGGGTGTTAACCGTGCTTCTTTGGTACTTAATTTTTTTCTAGTTTGTTCTGTCTCTCATGTATTTATTGTAAAATTTTGATAGTTAATGGAAAGC